GTAGATACACAGCATAGATAATAGCAATGTAATTGTGATTTAAAACTGGAGGGAAACAAAACCCTGATGACTCATACGTGAATTGAGACTTGTCAAGATCAAAATAATTTGCTGATTTGGTATCAGAACAGAATGGGAAATGGGCAACCCTCCAAAGAATTCAGCCAACATGAGAAATGGTATAAACTGCTGAGGAGTAGGGATCAGCAATGCTGAGGGATTGGATGACAATGAAGATGCTTATAGAGAAGAGGTGAAGGCTCTGGTGGATTGGTGCAATAAAAGTAACCTGGTTCTAAATGTTGATAAAACAAAGGAGATCATTGTAGATTTCAGAAAGAGCTGGCATAGTCTTACTCCATTCAGTATCCAGGATGCAGCTGTGGAGGTGGTCAATAGTATTAAGTATCTGGGGGTGCAGATAACTAACAATCTGAATTGGTCTCTCCACACCTCATCTTTAGTGAAGCGTGCAAACCAGAGTCTGCATTTCCTGTATCGGATGAGGAGAGCACATCTCTCTCCTTCTGTTCTGGCCACTTTTTACAAAGGCACGATTGAAAGCATTTTACCAAACCGCACCACTGCCTGGTTTGGTGGCAGCAGAGCCTCAGATAGAAAGTCCATACAGAGATTGGTAAGGACAGCCGAGAAGATCATAGGAAGCTCGCTCCCTGTTATTCAGGATACTTACAAGCGAGCTTGAAGCATTGTTAGAGACTCCACACACCCACTTCACGGTCTGTTTCTGTTGCTCCCCTTTGGGAGGAGGTTTCGAAGTATTTCTAGCAGGATGACCAGATTCTGTAACAGCTTTGTTCCCTATGCCATCCGTCTGGTAAACTCGCAAGATTTATTTTTCTCACCATGTATATGTATACATAACCTGAACTATATTGTGTTGTTTCTCTGTGTCTATATGTGGGTATATGCATAATTATGTATGTATGTATTTATTTTTGTCATATTTATGCAATGTACATTGGAGGTGGTGACCCTTTGAAAGCTGTATGTAACAAAATTTCATTTTAATGTATGCCGATTAGTGTACCTTCAAAGTGACAATAAAGTTATTATTCTACTCTACTCTACTCTACTCTACTCTACTCTACTCTACTCTACTCTACTCTACTCTACTGTACTCTACTCTACTCTATTCTATTCTAGATGTTCCCCACTCATCTATTTGGGTCCGTCAGTGACTTAACATCTCACTGTTTCTACAGGCCAAAACAGGCAACCGATCTAATGGCTGGATGCTATTTGGTTTGCAGGAAAAAAACGTTGAGACACTAGAAACAGTGCAGAGAAGAGCAAAAAAGATGATTAGGAGACTGGAGATTAAAACATATGAAGAATGGTTGCAGAAATTGGGTATGTCTAGTTTAATGAAAAGAAGGACTAGGGGTGATGTGACAGCAGTCTTCCAATATCTAAGCAGCTGCCACAAAGAAGAGGGAATCAACCTATTCTCAAGGAGCAATGGATGGAAACTAATCAAAGAGAGAAGCAACCTAGAACTAAGAAGACATTTCTTGACAGTGAGATCAATTAACCAGTGGAACAAGTTGCCTTCAGAAGTTGTAGGTGCTCTATCACTGGAGGTTTTCAAGAAGAGATTGGACAGCCATTTGTTGGAAATGGTATAGGGTTCTCTGCTTGAGCAGGGGACTGAACTAGAAGACCCCAAAGTCCTTTCCAACTCTGTTATTCTGTTATTCTTTAAAACTGCCTTTGATTCCCTTACTATGGCAGGGGAATCAAGTTACACTGCTACATCCCATAAGCACAGTATAGCTTTGACAGCACCCACCTCAACCAGGCTGCTTGCCTGCCATAACTTTGTCTTATTGTTGTTGGCTAGCAGCCTTTCTGAGTAAAGAAAAAAACTATCAAATTTTTAGCTCAATATGTCAGTCCAGTCCCTCATCGTTTGATATATTCATACACTAGGCCAGGGGATAGGCAACCTTGGCTCTTTTATGACTCGTGGACTTCAACTCCCAGAATTCCTGAGCCAGCCATGCTGGATTCCATACAACAATTCCTGGTAGTACTGATCTAGCTGCCTCAGTGATCAAATTCACTTATGCCAGGGATATTCTTATGGAATTTCACAGATTTAGCAGACCTCAAGGCAAATCGATTTTAATGGAACTCCATATGGGCTTTTGAAATACATGGATCCAAATGCAATTGAAGTAAAATATTCAAACTGCAGAAGACAAGTGACTACCAAAGGGTGCTGCATTGGTTGCAAGAGCTATTGCACTCAATTTTCCAAAGTTTTATTTGACTGCAAAATTAGGCTGGTCGAAACATCCCTGTTTACATTATTAATCCCACTTTATTTTTAACATTTATAGAAAAAGATCATATCAGTAGAATGCCTTGATTACAAATTATGAGATGGGATAATTGAAAAACTCACTGGCTTTTTGCTTCCTTCCTTCCTGGAAGGGGTTTCCAGGATAATATAATTATGCTACCTTGTATTTGTATAAAGAATGTCTATGATTCCCATCTCAGTCTTGTGACCGTGGGCCACCAACAGCACATAAAGCATAAGATAGCAATACAAAATAAAACAATAAAATGCCACCAAAGCTCCTAATAAGCTGTCTCACAACTCATCACAATACATACCAGGCTCAACTAACACACTGCCCCCCACACTTGAGAGAAAAGCCAGGCTTCAAGGCCTTCCAAAAGGCTAACAAGGTCACAGCCACTTGAATCTCATGGGGGAGGCTTCCTAGAGCAGGCTTCCTGGTTCCCATTAGATGACTCAGACCATGGACACCCTGCTGGATCTGATGGGGGCTCAGAGGCAATTGGAGACAGGTGGCCCCACGGAATTTTATAGGTGACAACCAGTACATGGAATTGTACCTGGAAGCCTACTAGCGCATCTCACAAAGCAGTGGTGTTATCTGATCATACTGGGTGTGCCCAAAACTGCCCATATCACATCATTCTGGATCAACTGCAGCTTCTGAAAGCTCTTCAAAGGCAGCCCCGTGTAGAGCACATTGCAAAAATCCAACTGGGAGGTGAATAAGGCATGGCTGATCATGAGCAGAACCTCCTGATCCATAAACAGGCACAACTGGCATATGCGATGGATTTATGCAGATGCCTCGGGGGCCATGGCTGCCACTCACTCCTTGAGTAGGAGCGATCAATCCAAGCGGATCTCTAAACTGTAAATGAGAACTGCCCCATCCAGAGTCAGAGATGAAAAATGCTCAGTTCTGGAGAACTCCTAAACCTCCAGCCACTCAGTCTTGCTAGGATTAAATGAAAACTGGTCCCATCCCGAAGCAGGAAGGAACCAGCATCATTTGCAAGGCCCGGGGCTGAGATATACAGCCTTGTATCATCAGCATATTGTTGATGCTTCAAACTGTGCCAATGAATGGCCTCACCCAGATGAGTTGGGAGAGAGGCAAACCTTGAGGCATCCTGCAATGTAACACCAACACCAAGTATTATTGGCTTCAAAGTAAGAACAACCACTGTAAGACTGCCCCCACTCCCAACCCCCTAACCTGGTCCAGAGAGATATTATTATCAGTGGTATCAAAGGCCAGTAAAAGATTGATGAAGGGGGCAAAGACAGATGCACCATTCCCATCCTGACTTGACCAGAAATCATTCGTAAGTGCAGACAATGCTGTCTCAATGCTCAATGCTGCCTGCAAACCAGTTGAAATGGATTTAGATAATCTACCTTTTCCAGACCTTCTGGAGCTTCAAACTTAAAGAAAAAAGATTTGCCTGCCCAGTCATGTCTGTCTCTAGGGTGTGGTGCCCATCGCCTTTTTTTGACCTAGGGAGCCAGTATTGTCCAAAGACATTTTCTGTGGTCATGTGGCTATACACCAAAGGCACATGGAATGCTGTTTCCATCAAAGTGGTACCTATTAATCTACTTGCATTTGCATGCTTTCAAACTGTTAGGTGGGCAGGAGCTGGGGCTCATCCTGTTACTCAGCGCTTGGGTCCTACCACCCTCTTAATAGTGTTCCCTAAGTAGGACAGTTGAAGACCAAATAAAAAAATATCCTACTGCATCTAGCAATGACTTCTTAAGGAGGGAGTGAGCCATTCCTTCTTCAAATCCAACTCTATGGAGATGTAAATGGAGAAGTGTCTGGGGAAGCAAAGTGAAGATGGAGAGTGACTTTTCTGTAAGTAAACATGAAGAAAGCCCATCTTTTGGTGCTGGAAGGTCTGGCATTAAAAAAAGGAGCGTTGGCTTACCTGAACGCCTTTTCTCAGCATGATGATGAAGAATCCACCAATGGGTTATTTCAGTCCTCCTGTCCAATCAGACCAAGTTGTCAAGTTGTCACACCTCCTCATTATCTGGGACCTTCCAGTTTCATCGACAGCATAACCAATGACAACAGTTAGACGTGATGACTCTTAAGCAGGTAATAGGAAAAAAAACCTACAATAACAAGTGCCCAACCCAGACCTGACTGACTTCTAAAAGGGAGGGCGTGGATTCTTCATCATCATGCTGAGAAAAGGCGTTCAGGTAAGCCAACGCTCCTTCTCCAGCATGATGACTGAAGAATCCACCAATGGGACATACCAAAACTTCCGGAGTTCCTAAGGGTGGGAGTCAGTTGGGGCCAGACCCCCAGATGGTGTGATTACTTGTTGTAAAATACGCCTACCAAAAGCGGCCTCAGCCGACACAAATTTGTCTAGACGGTAATGTCTAATGAAAGATGATGGCGAGGACCAAGTCGCCGCCCTGCAAATGTCCTCAATGGACGCCTGGGTTGCCCACGCCACAGTTGTGGCAGCACTGCGGGTGGAGTGAGTGGTCACATGAGGAGGAACAGGCAAGGCAAGTGAGACGTAGGCGCTTGCGATACAGGCCCTGATCCACCTACCTATGGTGGAAGCTGACACTTTTTGACCCATTGAAGAAGGCTGAAAGGACACAAACAGGGTTTCAGATTTACGAAAAGGCGCCGTGCACATGATATAACGTCGTAAGGCTCTCCTTACATCAAGGGTGTGCCATTGCCATTCCAATTCATGTGATGGAGGAGGACAGAAATCTGGAAGAATGACCTCTTGTGCTTTATGGAATACTATATTTATTTTTGGAATAAATGAAGGGTCTAGCCGGAGAACCACCCTGTTCTCATGAAACATGCACAGATCCTTCCTGACCGACAAGGCAGCCAATTCCGAAATGTGCCTAGACGAAGTAATTGCAATCAGGAAGGAGACTTTGAGTGACAAGTGTCGTAAGGAACACGTTTTAAGTGGTTCAAAGGGAGGTGAGGTTAGTGCCTGAAGAACCGGAAGCAAGTTCCAAGAAGGATATCTATGAACCACAGGGGGTCTACTATTAGTGACTCCCTTGAGGAACGACCGTATGGCAGGGTGCCTTCATAAGGACTCTGAGGAGTCCCACAAGAGCACAGAGAAAAGTGCCACTAACTGTCTGCGGATAGTGTTGGGCACCAACCCCTTTTTGATGCCCTCCATCAAATATTCTAGTACCCTAGGAATGGTTACCTGTCACAGACTCACAGAAGTCTGCCGCCAATGGGGGGAGTCCCCTCTGAGTCACTTGGAGAGATGGAAGGGGCGACCCCCTCTGCCACGAAAGGACTGTTTGTTTTGGGGTTGGTACCGGGTTCTGTCCCTATAGCTTGCCCTGTCAAAGAAGCGCTCAATCTTAGGGGTTGGGGGTCGGTATGATTGTGAAGACTCCGTTGCGGTCCCAGTCTGAAAGGACTGCCGGCGACTGTAAGGGAGGAAGTGTCTGTTAGTTCTCCTTGCCAAATGAGAAATAACCTTTTGTTTTTGTTTGTTTTCAATGAGATATGGTGTTAGGGCCTCCCCAAATAATTTGCCACCCGTGAAGGGGGCAGTGGCCGCATGCCACTTATGTTTGCTCTCAGCCCTCCAGTTTTTGAGCCATAGAAGCCTAGCAACTACGCTGGAAGCCATTGCTCGGGCTGAGTGCTTGGCCGAATATAGGGAGACATCCGCCATATACTCGGATGTGGCTATTAGCTTAGTTAAATCCTGATGGATTCAGATCTCTTCCAACGGAATCCTGTCCTGCAACTGACGAAGCCAGGTAATCGAAATCCTGGCAAAGAAAGAAGTGGCAGTTGCCGCCTTTGCAGCCCATGCAGATGCCAAATGGACCTTACGTAAGGCCATCTCAGATTTTTTATCTTCCGCCTTAAGGGCGTCCAAGACATCTGTCGGGAGACTGGCAGTCAAAAAAAGTGGAGCTAGTGACTCATCTACTTTTGGTACCTCCAATAAATCTGCCAAATTCTTAGCCACATCCACTATCTTGTGCTCAGCCGTTCCCTGGGTCGGTTGAGTAGCCGGTGACTCCCACTGCCCCTGAATATTTTTGAGGAATAATAGGGGACAGAGAATTTGTAGGTGTTCGTCTACAGGCACGGCAAACAGGGGATTAGCGTCCTGATCAGAGGAAGGCTGAGGGGTTGGAACCGGATTGGAGGAAAGCTTGCCCGCTGCACAGGCTCTGTGCAGCAATGAAGGAAACAGCGAAGCATTGAAGAGCTCCGTCATGGGCTGAGATTCATGAGTAGGTTCCTCACAATCCGACCAACCGTCCCTATCTCCCTCATAATCCAAAACATTTGAAGAGTCAGATTCAGGAGAATGGGATGGGGAGACCATACCTGACCAATCCAGTGGAGGTCGTGCGAAGGTGGTCGGTGCAGAAGAAGGCCCTGGAATGGGAGAAGCCTCCTGTTGACCTGCAGACGCCATGGCTTGGAACACAGCCTGTAATATCCACACTTGGAGGTGGTCAGAGAAGGACTGCTCTAGCGGAGGCCGTAACCCCACAGCAGATGGTGTGATAGCAGCGATGGGTGCTGTTGACGGGCCAGGCAAATCAAGGTCCTCCCCAAACAGAGGTGGTCCTCCCTGACCAAAGGTCTGAGTCGAGACCTGCTGAAGCACATTCTCAGGTGACCAAGCTCTCGATGTGGATGGTAGGGGCGCTCCCATGTCAGGTGGTGTAGAGTTTGACAGTGTATGATCTCTTTCAGCAGACATGTGTTGGGCCCGGGAGAATTGCTTCTCCGGGGCTCTGTGTGTACGGTCAGCCTGCTTACCGCTTGCCTTGCTAGTCTTCCTGCCGTACTTCGATTTGGCTTTGGCCTTACCTCCAGGCACCTCGGGTGCCAGCTCAATTTGGATGGGGTTGTTGTCAATGTCCAAAGGTTGTGACTCAGTGGTTTCTGCCATATCAGTCGAGATGCAACCCAGAGGTGACTCTGGGACTGACTCGTTCTGCAAGGACGTCAGGAGCCCCCTTGAAGAGGGACTGACTTCACATGGATTAGCGTGAGTCGGCCCACTGGCTAACCTGAACTCACGCTTGGCACAGAAGCGCTCGTCACCCGGCAAAGGACCTGAGATCAAGTTGGTGACGAAATCACATGTGTCCCACAATAGTGGCAATGGTCAGGATCTTGAAGCAACCACTAGATGCAGAGAGGCAGATATAGGCAATATGGCAAGCAGGGCCTGAAGGACCGTTGCTTCTGCTGATTCCACACTCTTGTTGATAATAGATTTCCTCAATAGGAATGATAATTTCTGAAACACTTAAGCTCAAGGACAAAGTTAATGCAAATGATGCAAAGGTATATGCAAAATCTATGTAATTATACCAGTGAAACTATGTAGAACAAAAATATAACTGCAGCAAGTTGTTTAACAATCACAAAGTGGCATCCTGGCCAGCGTGTGAATGGGCGTTTCCCTGTGGGAATATGCCTTAAAAATGGCGGACGCCCTGAGCTCCGTGAGGAAGGAAGGAGGGGAGGAGGAGGAGAAGAAGAATTGAGGCTCTTAAAATAGTCAAAGCGTACCCAAAAGGTAAGGAAGCAAGTTTCTAGGCTTTTCTGTAATGAAGAGATCAGTTTGGGAAATCGTGCCTAACAGCTGTTAGACACAAAAACAGATCGCCGCTGTAAACAAGGCTTCCTCTTCTCCAGCGTCAGCCAGAGGGCAAACAAAAAGGCCGGACAAAATTCCCCCTGTTGCTTGCTCTAATCAAGCCAAACAGCTGTGCTTCGGCTGAAAAGAACTTCGGCAAAGCTGTGCTCCACGGATTCAAAATGGCGGCTGCTATAGGAATCCCTGACCGGACCCGGTCAGAGAAGAAGCCATGAGGCTTCAAAATGGCAGCCACCAGCCAGAAACATGTGCTCTTGCTAGGGGAGTGTGAATATTCAATCCTCCCCTCACTACAATGAAGGGAAACTCCTCCCGCTTCTATTAGGTAAAGTTTTGGGATAGTTCAGCAAACTGCTGAATTCAGGGAAGGGAAACCACTCCCCCCAGTCCTGGAGAGGAGTGCTACACTAGCCCTGAAGGGAAGGGGAAAGGGATTCAGATTTTCTAGAGAGGTAATAATCTCCACTAATTTTTTCCAAATCTCAAAAAAGGATCCACCAATGGAATAATAATATCTAGTCTGACCTGCTCCAAACGACTGAGAGTCAAGTTATCACGTCCTCATGGGCGAAAGACCAAGATGAAACTGGGAGGTCCCAGATAATGAGGAGGCGTAACAACTTGACAACTTGGTCTGATTGGGCAGGAGGACTGAAATAATAACCCATTGGTGGATTCTTCAGTCATCATGCTGGAGAAAAACCCATTTCCCCCTTTTCTTCCTCCTCATGCTCCTCTTGCCATGGGGTAGGAAAAGCAGGGGGAGGTAAGTGGGGTAGAATGGCTTATTTGATGTTATTCCCAACTTGCATGGAACAATCTCCATAGGCTGGAGATTTAACTGAAGAAGACCCATGGATCTTCTGCTCCCCAAAACTGGTACTACAGGCAGTGTTTCACACAAACACACATCCCTATTTCTGTTGTGGACAGAACCCCTATTCTGCTTCATTGCCAAGGCCAAGTTAGGGTTGGAAGTGCAGTAGTAAATGTTTATAACGGCAGCCTTTCCTGCCACCCTGTGCAGCTTGGGAAATAGCTCTTTAACACTGCCATGTTGAAGGTCCTAGGTAAGTATGTAGTCCTGCACATGGGGAAACTTTTTTAGGAACAGTTCCTTTTTAAACCAATGAAGCTGTCTCTAGATAGCCAAAGGCCATTGAGGGAAAATACTGAAAAAATAAAGGAATGCAACAATCACCTACAGAGAGTTCCAAATAAAATCAATACAGTCAGCGTACCAAAATTAATTACATACTTGCTTGCATCAATGCAGGGGTTTCAGAATCTGCTTGGACTTCAGTGGAGGAAGGATAGCTGAAGAGAGATCATTTGAATGCCGTTATACTGGCTCTCCTTCTTTTGTCCTTTATTCTAAGCATATCCTCTAGACTGAGGACACTTCAAAAGTAATTAAAAAAACAACAACACCCTGCTCCACATCTTGCACAAGTACAATTACTTACTGGAAAAAATGATATTGCTTTAATGACTCAGTTCATTAATACTATTCTTAAAGCAGCCACATCTTTTCCCAGGCTCTCACACAAGCCTAAACAAAATCTTTTATTAAAAACAGAGGGATTGTGCTCACATGAGGCCTGCAGAACTTTTTTTAGATTTGCAGAGCCCTATTATCCCCAAAGTTTGATCAAACATGGTAGATAAATGTAAGCCAGCTACTTTGAGGATATTGATTGTTGCCAGGCCCAATCAGGGCAAAATTCCACATCTGATGTAACAGGCTAAGCTAACAAATCAGGAAAGCATCTAAAGACTGAACCCACCTTCCTAAGCACTTGGTAATGGAATGTTAAAGGCACTAACTAGGTTCACCAGGTTATGCTATTGTATGGAAAGAATTCAGTGGAGGAGGCCTTTCAAGAAAGGAAAGATAAACCTTGTCTACTCAGGCTTCTCAGCAGGTAACCAACTAACCACAGGCTTTGTGTAGGGGGCTTCTCCCATAAGAATAAATAGTTCTTTGTCTAGGCATGAAAAGAAGTGAGAAGGTTAAAAGGGATAGAGAACTATCAATCTTTTTTTCAAGCAGGAGCACAGTCTAAGAAATTAAGCAAATACAGATTGGGTTTACATTTTCTGCTAAACCATATTATAGCTAGTTTTGACTTAAGGTATTGTAGTTGGAAAGTCACAGTATATTACTTAGCAAAAGAGCAGGCAATTTGAAGCCCCTAGCTACATGCCCCCTTGAACCTTGGGTGCACTCCTTGAGACCTCCAGAATGTGACAGAAGAGGGAAATGATCAAACAGATGACTAGATAGCAATCTGAGGAGCTGTTTTGAATTTTCAATCAAATCAAATTTAGTTGTCATGTTTCCACCCACTCCTTTTTGGAATGTGGCCTTCAGCCCTCCATTCAAAGGCCCAATCAATCCCTTAGCAAAAAATGAATAACTTGGTTTAATATGTCATATGAAGCTTGCCAGTGGTGCTCTTTGCCACAAAAGATGGTTAAAGTATGGTTTAGCACCGTGTATAAACCAAGTCAGAATTTTTAACACTATGCATCTGGAGCAGCAAGTTATCCAAATAGGAACCCCAACTTTTTAAATGATGTTCCTCGTTGAGAGTCTTCTTACCCTGTACAATATGAAGGGTCCTTTCTGTAATTCTCTTCTGCAACTAGGCACAATTCAGACATGGTGAAGTGCAGCTGCCAATAGTGGTTTTTGGCCATTGCAGTCCAATCCATGTATGTAGGGAATCATCTGTGAATTCCATAGCTGTTGTCTAGATTGGAAAGTTGCAAAACATCATGGAAGAACGAACCACAAACCATTTCTGTCTTGTGTGCCAGAAGACAGCCCGGACATGTTTTTGAAATTGCCAGGAACTGAGTTTAATTGAAACTCTTTCCCTTTAGTTGTGGAGGCTTCCCTACCACTTGTAGCATTGTATCTTTATGATGGGACTTTTCTAGTGAAAAGAACAGACATATGTCATGACATTATAACAAAGGTCTAGTGGTTAAGGTGCCAGGCTAGAAACCTGGAGACTGTGAGTTCTAATCCCATTTTAGGCACAAGGCCATGTAGCTGACCTTGGGGCAGTCACTTTCTCTCTGCCCCAGGAACAAAGCAATGGTCGCTTCTGAAGAAGATCTAGCCCAGAAAACTGCAGGCAGTTTTGGAGAATCGGATATGATTGAATGGAAGAAAAAAAATGTATCATATACGGGTTTTTCAAAGGCAAAGAAAGTATTGGTCACCTCTTCCACACGAAAACATTGTGTGGAAAAGAGAAGCTTAGGAGACTAATACAAAGCATAAGGCAAGAGTGTTATGAGTCAGCTTTTTTCAACCCAGTGCCATCTAAATATGTCAGGACTATGTTTCCCATAAGCCAGCATGTTTATTGCTATCCTCCAAACATACCTGGGGGCCCCCCGTTGGGGAAGGTTGCCCTTAATATACAGTATAATGCAAGGGAAAGATCTGTTACCGAACTATTTCTTTCCTTCAGCAAGCGCGCGAGCGCGTGTGCGCGCGCGCGCGTGTTGAGAATGAGGGAGATGAAAGGCAGATCTAAAAGAGGCCAGGATTGTGACGCTACACGCGCTCCCCTGCCGGTTGTCCCCCCCACTCCACCCTCGTGAGGTCAGTGACCTCCCAAGCTTAAACAGAAAGAAGGGGAGGGGGGAGGGGAGGGAAGACCCGGGAGCTCCTTTGAAAAATGCAAACTCAGCGAGAAGGCCAGATCCATCTCGGTGGCTATTATGTCTGAGGTGCGGGAAGAGCAGCGGAGTTGTAAACTTGTTCCAGACAAGGACGCTGAGATTGGGAAAAGGGGGGTGGAGGAGGGGGTGGAGAAGAGCCTGAGGGGGAAGAAAGAGAGACACGCACACCTAAAAAAAAAAAAACAAAACCCAAAAGTTGAAAGTAAATAGCAAAGCTCTGGACAGTGTCCTTCTCCCTCCCGGCGTGCCCACCTCCCCCGCTGTCGTAGGTGGTTTACATTGCGGGCTAGCGAGCGAGGCAATGGAGAGGAGCCGGCGGCCGGAGCGGCAGACCGGAGGGCTTCTGCATCGGAAGGCTGCGGCGGCAGCGGCGCGGCAGTAGACCCGGGCTGGGAGCAAGCCCCGCGCGGGCGGCCCCACTTTGGGGAAGTGGCCCGAGCACTGCGAATCTCGGTTTCCTCCTCTGGTTTGGAACGCGGAGGAGCCGGGATTTCCTCCCCTCCCCCGCGCCGTTCGCAGCTGCAACAGGGACGTTACTTTGTCTCGATTCCAAGAGATCCTGCCAGGACTCCCCGCCCGCCCCCCCACTTCCCCCTCTTGCTGTGCCGGGCGTGCGGGTTGGACGCCGAGGGAGCTCCTCTCTTCAAAGGCGGCGGAATGCAGCCGGGCTGAAAATGCAGCCCCCCGACTGCCTGCTTTGCCCGGGAAGGCTTCCTTTTCCTTTCGGCTCCCCCCAAAGCGTGGCCTAGCCGCGGACACCCGGGCTTTTCGCTTTGGGAAAGCGGGCGACCCCGACGCCCCTTCCCCTATCTCTTGCCCGGGAAGAAAATGCAACTCCGTACTAAAAAGCGCGAGCCCAACCGGGTAAGTCCTCAGAGCCTCCGCTGGCCTCGACCCGAGGGAGGGCGGGGGGGGGGAAAGAAAGAGAATATTGGAACTCGGGTGATCCCCATCTCAGCTAGCCCAACGCTCGCCTCTGTTGTGTAGTGGAGGGATCGCGAACGGGCGAGGAAGAAATGCCGGGGATTGGGGTCGGGAGGAAGCCTCAACTATCCCGCTCCCCTTCTCGCCCCCAAGAGCGAGAGAAAAGCCTTTCTCCCCATCCCCGGCAGCACCCCGCCTTTCCCTCTGCAAACAAGGGGGTGGGGTGGGGGGCAAGGCAGGCTGGCAGCATCGGCGTGGAAGAAGTGGGAAGAAGAGATTAGATTTCGCTTCTCTCTCATCAATTTTCTGTTTAATGTCACTGGGCTCCATTGTGGGAGAGAGAGAGGCACGTCATCCGGCCATAAATTTGTGATTATAGAGCCTCCAGCTCCGTCTTGGTGCCCTAATTGAATGGATTTACTCCACATGGGCAGGTAGGGGGACCTTGAAGCTGGAGCAAAATACTACCGACCAAAGACGAAATTCATAATAGCGGCAGAGCCGGGGCCATCGTCGTAAAACCAGATTCTCAAACACCCCGGCGGCCGGGGGAGGGAGGGAGAGGAGGAGGGATGGGGGAACTGGGATCTCGGCACACACATGCAAAAGCCGTCCTCAATTTCCGCTTTCCAGAGGCAGAGAAGGCCAAGGGAAGCTCCGGGAAAGGGGAGCCGAAGGGAAGAAAAGCCAATTTCTAATGTAGTAGGCGCGCGCGTGTACTTCTCTCACCCATATCCTAAGACGGCGTTTTTTTCACCCATGGCTCGGGTTGGGTGCCCTGACTTTTTTGCCGTGAGGTCGGTTTTTCTTTTGGATTGTTTGGTGTCTGTGGCGTGTTAAACGGAACGTTGACCCAGGAAAGCAGCGACCTGTAAGTAATTTTGCGGCGCCCGTGCCTGTTGTTTGCATGCGTGAATTGTTCTTCTTCCTCTTTTTCTTTTGGCGTGTTGTCTTTCTTGATATTCCTTTTTATTAGGAGGCGCCATTTGCGCCGATTTAGTTCTGAAGTGGGAAAAATGTCGCCTTTTCCTTCCACCCCACATTGCAGGCTGTTTTGTTACAGCAAGTCCATTCCTAGGGCGATTTTTGCATTTATCTCTTTTCCTGTAACTTAAGGTTCTTGCACTTTATCGTTGAAAACCCACATCATTAGCTAAATTCCTCTTTCCAAGCAAAAAATGTTTTATAAAGAAAACAAAAACAAAAGAATAATATAGTACTATCACAGTTTGTTTTGTATTTATTCCAAGATCCCATTTTGACTTTAATACTATCCTGAAAATGTACTACCTGAAGAAAACTAAATTTATTTCTTTTAAGTAATACCACTGTACTTAAAGAGAAGGAAGAATCCACGTACTAATTCTTTCCTTTTTAAGCAATTTTAAAAGAAGTTATGAAACTTCATAGATCTTTTCCTACTGGATATCATCTCATTTGTAAATATATTCAATATTTGGTGGCTGAAAATTTACCCACATTTTTGCAGGCTTCCATCAAATCAAAGTCCTTTGCAAATAATTAAGCATTACCCTTTTTTTTTCAATTCTGAAATAAAAAAACTTCAGACTGCTGGATAGAGCATTGGATTTTTTTTAAAATTGAATTACAAATTTAAGAGTCCATGTTTTTCTACTTTTCAAAGCTTCTTATCCTGGAAATCTCAAATTGCTCTAATAAAATTTGACACAACCTACTTGCTTTCTGAAAAAATCATAAAAATTGCAGCTCAAATGCAAAAGAATTTGCCACACTGCAACTTACAGAAAAGATATTTAAAAATGGCCTTTGCATCAAACAAGAAGTCATCCACAGCTGCATTTTTCTTTCTATAATTCAAATTGTCCGCTTAAGCTACCTGCAAAAATCTTTTCAAACCCATTTGCCAGTTTACTAGAATCACAAAAAACAAATGGCTAACTCTCATCTGCTTAATTTAAATATCGCTACTTCGTTTTCCACTAGAAAGAAGAGCAATTGGCAATGTACAGTTGTGAATTTTGATTACTCATGAGTGAATGCATTTACTTCTGTGTAAGTGGGCAGTTTTACACGTAAGTCATAGCACATTGATCCTGGTTTAAGCCTTATTTTAGACAGTAAGTCTTGTTTTTGAATAAACATGCATTAAGACTGCCCTATGAAAATACAAAATATACAAAGAAAATTTATTTTAAAAGGAGAGAGTCGTTCTCTTTTTAATGAACCTGATATATAGATGCGATTAAAAAAACATTGTTTCTTGCTCCCCATCCCTCCTCCCTTCTGTGAAATCAAACTATCTCCGGACCCTGCCGCTCGAGTTTCTGTCGATATCTTTTGCAAACTCGGTACAGAAAGTATATTTGTGCTAGTAAAGAGATGGATTTATTTAACGTTTTTTAATTAAAGGCATTGACTTTCCGTTAACAAAAAGAGGTAGTAGCGAAAGAGCAAGCCTGGCTCGTCTCGAGCTTTAGGTGCGGCCGGAAGAGAAAAGCATCTCGCCCAGAGTCCCTTAGAGCAACCCGCTGGTCCGTCTTTCGCGGACCGCTCCTGCCCTTTGGGGAGACCCCCGGATCTCTAGGTCGGTCTCATGATCCGAAGGCCGCCCTCCCTCCTTTCTTATTCTGCCTCTTTATGGCCCGCGCGGCAGCCCAGCGCTCCCGAGCGCCTTGATCGCCCGGGTGCCTTAAACCAGGGCGCCGAGAATATTGGGGAACCCAGGAAGGGTCTCTCTTGCCTGCTGCTCTTCCTCTGGGGGGGGGGGGCTCCATTTCGCCGCCTTTTCCCCAAGAAACCGTGACAAGGGCTTCGTCTCCTCCTTCCCCCTCCCTCCCATGCTTTGATAACAATGTGGTCCTCAAGGGCGATCAGGAGATCGTTCTCCGGTTTTTGGTTCTTTTTCTTTTTTTCAAAATGGGGAAAAGGCCTGCCGATGGATGGGTGGGTGGGTGTGGGAAGGGATCCCTCTCCGCTTGAGACGGACGGCCCTTCCCATTCAGGAAGGCGGCGCTGGGTAAGTTCCCCCCCGGCAGGCCTGCCCGCTCTGGCTCCTCTTCTCCCCGACCTACCCGCGGACCTTTTGCTCCTTGAACGCCTCGAGCCCGAAAAGCTGAAGAGAAAAGGCGGGTTCCCTTCCCGGAGGAGATTAAGCGGATAAAGGAGGGCGTGGAGCGGACCGGGAAGAAGGCAAGGAAGATGGCTGGCGGAGAACGTGCTCCGGATCCGCTGCAAGCGACTTCCTCTCCGGCTTGTGAGGGGCTCTGCCGCTCCGGGAGTTCAGGCGGACTTCCTCTGCCGCCTTTGCGTCAAGGGGAAACGAGGCAGCGGGCTTCTTTTGCTTCGGGCCGGTCCAACGGAGGCGCCCGTTTGGTTTAAGTGCTGGGTCAAAGGCCCGAGCGGCACCCGGAGGGGGTTTCTGGCGGGGCGTGGGAAAGAAAGAGAGAGAGGCTTCCACCTCGCGTGGAGCGGGAGTCGCAGTCGGCGGGGTTGGTTCTTCGACCGCAGGAACTCCCTCGCGAAGACAGGCGGGGATTTGTTTTGTCTGTAGAGGCCAAAGCGAAAGCACAAAAGCCAGCCTTGGAACTGACGAATTTCCCTGCCTTTTCGTGCTCTTTCTGAGTCCGGCGAGAGCAGGGATTCTTTTTTTTTTTTTCCCGCCCCTTTGCCACAGGAAACTCAAAAAAGCTTTTTGGGGGGGCGCAAAGGGAGGAAAGTTCGTAAGAAACTTAAATCAAAAAGGAGCCTTCTATTCCTAAAGGATCAAATTTTGCCTTTCTTCTTTCCCTGATTCTTATACTCCCCTTGCTACGGCTTCTTCCTCCACGTTTCATTACTGTAGAGTTCTTCAAACGGAGGATGTAAAACGTAGTTTCTGTTCTGTATCTATGAGGAGAGAGAAGAATTTTTTTAAAAAAATCATAATCGCTCTCTGTCCTAAGCATTGGATGGAACCTGGCTCTCTTGGGTTAATTACAGGCAATATTTCATTCATTTATTACCTGAGGTTTAAAAGAGGGAGGGGGCCAAGGCGGATATTATGGATAACTTTCCTCCTCCCTCGGGGTTGGGAG